GGAGTTCCACCACACTTTGTCATGTTAATGCAGTGTCAGCTATAGCCACATGGTAGCAAAATCTCCTTAAATCAACTCATTTGAAAATAACTCAACATTTTTAAAGCAAATATAAGATGTGCTTCTACTGTATCAGATGATTCATCCTCTTACCTCTACTCTGCATACCCCTACCTCCAAATACCTGTATCAGCCACCAAGACACTGGTGTTCTGAACATTTCCCTTCCCAGCCACAGGCTTTCCTTTCTCCCTAATTCTTTAATCTAATTTGTCTTGACTGAGACCCTCTGCTTACTGACTTCTCACTATTTCACTGTGGTATCTTAGCTTTAGCTAAAGCATGCCAGTTGATTGATTAATTTAAAAAATAGCAAGGGCCAGGCATGATGGCGGACACCTTTAATCCCAGCACTTGGGAGGCAGACGCAGGGAGATCTCTGTGAGTTCCAGGCCATCCTGATCTACACAAGGAGTTCCAGGCCAGCTGGGGCTACAGAGAGACTCTGCCTCAAAAAGACAAAAAAAGCAAGGACATCAGGTGCGATGGCTCACAACTTTAACCCCAGCACTCAGGAGGCACAGGTACGCCAATCTCTGTGCGATCCAGGCCAGCCTGGTCTACATAACACGTTTTAGCTGGGGTTACAGAGAGACCCTGTCTCAAAAAGAGCATGGAGAAGAAACAGATGGGGGCCTAGAAAAAACCCAGAAATTTCTCCTCTTCACCCTCAATACAGTGACAGTGGCAAACTGATAGAGAAAAGTACCTGAAATGACCTTTGTTAGTAACATAAAAAAGCAGACTCAGTTCAATATTCCCACATGCATAGGCTTAAAAGGACCGGCAGTAATTCACTAAGAGAATGAACTGACTAACTCTAGTTATGTATTAAAGATAACAAGATTTCTTCTTTTTAAACATTTTATGACATTAAGCTTAAAATGAAGGAATTCCCACATACCTTTTTCATAGTCAAACAACAGGTGAGATCATGATACACCACAGGCACGAAGTCCTTTGAAAGGTGTACATCAAATTCTACAAACGCTGCACTCTGACAGAAGTGGAGGCAAGTATTTGAAAAAAAAAATTCTGGTGCACAACACGTCTAGAAGTTCACAGAATAAAGGCTTTTTGTTCATGGTAAATCAAAGTTTTGTACACAAAAGCATAAAACTTCCTCATGAGTTCTTCAAAAGGTTAATTATTCTTTTATTATTTTTATTTTATGTATTTGAGTGTATTGCCTGCATGTGTGTAAGTGTGCCTGTGTTGGGCAATGCCCACGTAGGTCAGAAAAGAGTGTCAGATCCCCTGGAAATGGAGTTACAGATGGCTGTTAGCCACCATATGGGTGCTGGGAATCAAACCCAGTTCCTCTGCAAGAGCAGCCATGGGGGGCTTAGGGCTGGAGAGATGGCTCATTGTTTAAAAGCATATGCTGTTCTTCCAGAGGACCTAAGTTCAATTCCCAGTACCCATGTCTGGTAGCAGCTCTAGCACTGCACTCATGTACACAACACTTCCCCGACATACACACAATAATAAAATAAAATGTCTTAAAAATTGGGGGGTGGGTAGGCTGTAGAGATGGCTCAGTACTTAAAAGCACTGGCTGTTCTTGCAGACGACATAGGTGTGGTTCCCAGATAGCCGCTAATAACTG